CAAATCGATAAACTCGCTTTCTCTGTTGAGGTAAATGTATAAACCCAACATTTTTTGTGTTGTACCATAAAACCAAACTTTTGAACGATGGAGACGTCGGTTTTTCACAATTGTTTCACCAACAGATACACAGAAGGCTTCTCTACAACCCTCTACTAATTCGATCGCTAAAACCTTTGAAGAAGGTCCTGCTTGAACCTTTCCAAAACTAGTTTTGAGCAAACAATATTTCTACATTTACCCCATGTGGGGTGAATGCGTAATTCAAGCTAAAAAGACCGGGTAAACGTGTAAACTCAGTCTTTCGACATGGATTTAGTAAAAATAAAGTTTTACAAGATTCCTATGGATTTTTAAAAGTTTCTCTATATGAAAAATATTTAGTTTTCAATGCTCTATCATCGTAGAGTTTTTGTACGATACTTCGAATATTTCAAATATATTTGTAAAGAGAAAATCATGATGTATTATTTGAGAAGATTAGTTTCAATATATACTAAGTGATTACGATTTAGTTTGATTATTTTCAATAAAGTAATTAGATGATCTAGATGAAATTACTAAAAGATTTTAATATAATTTTGTATGAGAAACGTGATTTAAGAAAAGAAGCTTGAGAACAGGAAATGTTGACTCGAAATGGGTTTTTCACTAAGAACATATGTTGACAGCAGTATTAAGTGAGCAGTATTCGCATTGATAATTAGAAGTATGCATTGAAATAGAAGAAGTTCGTATGCAGGTATTGCAGCATAATCGACCACATGAATAACATTTGAAAATAAGTTCACCATTGAAATACATCGGAGTATTACATTTGTAACAAAACTGATGGTTGTTAAAATAAGGATTTTGATAGTTTTGAATCATCTGTGGATCATAATAATTATTAAAATTATAAAGAGGAATATTACTACCATGTGCGGTAGATAAAGAAAATCCATATGATGATTGATTGAAATTCGATGTATTAGTAAATGGTGTTCGATTATTCGTGATAAAATTCATGTTGTTGTTTGATGATTTTTCTGCGTTTTCTGATTCACTGGTTTTTCTCTTTTTTCTGGTACTATCAAAAGAAGAAATGAGTACGCAGTTATTTACTTGCAAGAAAAACGTACCTTTTAGTCTGTTTCGAATCAGCTTTAGCACTTGTAGGTTTCTCTTTAGTTATTTTTCGTTTTCGAGCATTTTCACTTTTTTTAATTTTCACATAAGCATCAACACTCGTGATGCTTTCCCCATAAGGACGTTCTACTTGTTTCTTTTTATGATTAGTTGGAGTGATTGAAGGAGCCATATGCTTATCAATAGCTTTCGTTAAAGCACTGAGTGTTTCATCATTCGAAACGACGCAGTTCATATGTGATGGTACAGTTGATGAAACTGTAGATGTTATTTGAAGACCTTGATCATCACTTTGACAATTCAACAGATTAGTATCAGCAACTACAACAGGAGATGTAACATAGAATTTCTATATAAGTTTNTGTTCATAAATTTGACAATTCAACAGATTAGTATAAGCAAATACAACAGGAGATGTAACATAAAGTTTCTATATAAGTTTAGTAAAGTACCTTTACCTGATGGATTTTCATTCAACAGTCCAACATTAGATGATGTTACGGATGAGTAAATCGATTCTAAACATTTTATAAAACATTTCTAGCAAAACTTCTGAGAAATAAATTTACCGGGAAATATTGGTTGATCAACATGAGAGTAAAGTACTCGCATAGCATCAGATAGTACTGATGAAGTATCTATGTTCGCAAAAAATATTAATTACACTTTTTCCAAGCAATAGCTTACCTGTAACTGCTGTGGAAGTTAATTCGATAGTTGTTGATACAGGATTAGTGTGATGATGAAGATTAGGAATAGAAACTAATCGAAAAAAAAATAACAATTAGAAACGTCTTAAGGATAAGCGGAAAGATCTGTGTGATCTATATGTTGCTTTATGAAATGAAAGACTGAGTAAACTTCGATTTTTATAGTAGCAACATATGATAGATATAGAAAATGACATATTTATTCTAAAATAACGTACTTGGAATAAGATCATTAGTTTTCAACGAATCCATCGAAGGCAAAGGAATTGAGTTTTCGACATCTAATATAAATATTAAAAAAAATAGGATGACATTTATGTACTGCCAGCATACCCAACGTTGTGGAAACAACTGCAGACAAATCTATGTCGATGTGATTGATAGTTTTTGCATTTGTATAAAGATTATCATTGATTGACGATGAATTGTTATTTAGTTTAAAGAAGATATCTAGACAAAAGTCATTAAATGGTAATCAACTTGTCTATATTTTATTTAACGAACTGTTTGGACATGATGATTCGACGTTAACGATAATGAGATGTAATTCCTGGTGGAGCGTTGTAAATATCATCAGTTGTATTCGATTGAAGTGTTGATTCATCAACACCTGATGTTGTTAAAGGTTGAAGAAGTTTCTCCTTTGAAACAGCACGTCTATCGAAAAGATATATTCCAGCTTTTGCGAATCCAGCAGAACAATGACCCGGTAATAAATGATTTCAAAACAATTGTGATATCTAAATAGAAAAAAGTTATCATTGTAATTAACTAGTGGAGGGATACTTACTAAAAGTGCAAATGTTTGTTTAGTGAGCGACTGAGAGTTCGTTTTTTGAAAATGACGCGACAGAGTTTTCTCCACGCTTGCTTAAGTTTCGACAGAGTTACAACATCCAATGGTTGTAATATCGTTGTGCTGTGAGGAGGCAAACACTCGATATGAATTCCATGATCCATTGCAAATTTGATTATTCGACTTGATAAATGTGATCGATGTCATCCATAATCAATAAAATCGATTTTTTAACTGATTTAACATTTGGTACGAAATGTAATTGTAACCAATCGAAGAAGACTGTTTCTTCGCTCCATCCCGAAGTAGTGGCATTAAAACGAGAACCAGGATAACTGTTTCTTGGCATCCAAAGGTCAAACAGTTTTTGAGCACGATATATTATGCAAGGAAGTACAAATCTAAGAAAAATTAGTAAGAAAAAGAAGTACTGTATACAGGGTGTCACAAAACCTTTACGCCCCCCCCCCCTCTTAGCAACCTAAAAGATAAATGATATCAGAA